TCTCATTCAAATCAGATCTTAGTTCTCGCTAAACAACAAGGTAGTCCTTGACAGGTATCTTTGCCTGTGAAACACACAATCTCATTCAAATCAGATCTTAGTTCTCGCTAAACAACAAGGTAGTCCTTGGCAGGTATCTTTGCCTGTGAAACACACAATCTCATTCAAATCAGATCTTAGTTCTCGCTAAACAACAAGGTAGTCCTTGACAGGTATCTATGCCTGTGAAACACAAACTCATTCAAATCAGATCTTAGTTCTCGCTAAACAACAAGGTAGTCCTTGACAGGTATCTATGCCTGTGAAACACAATCTCATTCAAATCAGATCTTAGTTCTCGCTAAACAACAAGGTAGTCCTTGACAGGTATCTATGCCTGTGAAACCCACAATCTCATTTAAATCAGATCTTAGTTCTTAGTGACACCACGCCTCTGTGTATGTATGTGTGTGTGTGTGCGTGCGTGTGTGCGTGCGTGCGTGTGTGTGTGTGTATGTATGTATGTATGTGTACACGAGTGGCATCACGTTTGCATGGAGACACGAGTAAAACACCACGTATGTCTCTCTCTCTCTTTCTCTCTCTCTCCTTATAAATATAAATATGATAAATAATCATATTGATAAACGTCTGTTTGAAGACACGCATGACACCACGTTTGCATGGAGACACGCGTGACACCACGTTTGCATGGAGACACGAAGTACATCACGTTTGCATGGAGACACGATTGGCATGACGTTTGCATGGAGACACGAAGTACATCACGTTTGCATATGGAGACACGAGTGGCATGACGTTTGCATGGAGACACGAAATACATCACGTTTACATGGAGACACGAAATACATCACGTAGGCATACCTACATCACGTTCATGTCTGTGCATGTCGATTCACCTTTAGAATTCAAACGTCCGTTCCACAACATGATCGTAGCGCAAAGGTGATCGCCACTCACCTACTTATTATAATAAGCTCGTCTCGTCTCAGTGATCTATCATCTCCTTGTGCCATCCGTGCCTTTGCACAACACCTATGAGGGGGAAGAAGTAATCTTCTCCTTCTCCAAAACGGCCCTTATCAGGGCCACCCGTCTCTCCCGAAAGAACGCTTTCATCCATTGCTTTGACTACCCTCTCCACCACCCTCCACCATCCTCCACCACCACATCCACCCACCCACTCACTAAAGCCCCCCCCCCCCCCCCCCCCCAAACCGGAAGTGATGTCATCACAGAAACCGACCAATCAGAAGCCAGGAGCGGTTCCAGAACGGGGCTACCAACTATTGCTGCCGTCCCCGAACCGATCTTTTTCCATGACACAATGATTGACGTAACGTTCACCTCGCCGTCGGTACACTCGAATCCGTCCATCGCTGTGGCTGAGGTGTAAAACGAGACTCGTCAGTGAATAGAACTTGTCCCCACTGCATGGCCGTCCAGCGTAGACGCTGTCTGCACCACTGTAGACGTGCTTGACGGTGGTTTCCTTTCAAAATGGCAGGTCTCCTGGCGACAATCCCTGCACATCTGAGGCGACGACGTACGGTTTGTGAAGATATTCGTCGAAGGCCAGGGATGCTTCTTGCAGTCACTGTTGCTGGCTGGCATCGATTTCGTAAGTGTGTTGTTCGAATCCAGTTGTCTTGTCGATTATTGGTTACACGTGGCCTGCCACTCCGAGGATGGTCTCTGACTGCATTCGTCTGACTGCATTCGTCGACTTGCATCTTTTGCATGGAATGCATGCTTTTCTGTAGCAATTGCGTTTTTGTGACTTGATTCCATACACGTACTACAATATTGAAAACCAAACTTTACTTGTTTGAAAAATACACCAAAATATTGGTGTCAAGGGAATTTTTGTTGTTGAGTATATTATGCGAGTCTTTGGCATATTGTTTATTTCTACGATTCGGAAGCACACGAAGGTAATAATGTTGTTTTATGCCGCCTTTGGCAATATTCAGCAATATCATGGCGGGGGACTCAAGAGCTTCACACATTGTATCTGTGTTGGGAATAGAACCCGATCCTTCGGAACGACCTACTGGGCTACCCCAATGCTCAGTTTTGTGTGAGGAAATCTTCCATTACCCAGTGTATGATATTAGCTGAAGAACCTCCCAGATGATGCTGTGCAATTATTGGCGCTAGATGTTCACGTCACTCGGTACGTTATTGAGTTCCACTTCTTTTGAATTCAGACGTTTTCATTCTTCTACTGTCTTTCAATGTGTCCTTTCTTTCTTTGTATATCTGTGTTGACGGTGAGCTTTCAAAATCAGCTGGTGCACTGGTATCGATTATGCCTTTATGGATATGAAAAACCTCCATGTGTCCTTATGTACACATCTATTCCCATCATTACCCATTGTGATAAATAACATGCATCTATATGAATAATACCCTGAATATATATATATATATATATATATACTTCAAACAAAGAGGTCTGGAAAGACTGCCCGTGTAATCAGCAACGCCTATGTTCATTATTGGGAAATGTTTCATGTTAAAAAAATGTCTTCGTTGATTATTTGTTTCTGTTTGTATAAAGTCGTTAAATAGATTTTTCTCATTTGCACTCAAAGGAAATTCCTCTTTTATATTTGCGTCAAAACAAATATAAGGGTATGTACGTGAGTGCAATATATAAGGAAAGCTTTGAGACAGTTTTATGTAAGAAGATCGATGGACTGGTTCAGTATCTGGATAACATAGAGCAATCTTCCTATCTTATTGCACTAGGCTCATGAAGGACATTACAATCAGATCTTAGTTCTCGCTGAAACCTGAACAAAAGAACATTCTGGAAAGGCTAATAGATGGTCTAGATTGTATGGATTCAGTCGTTAAGCCCGTAACTATCGTTCGGAATACCCCGTGTTAAAGTTTTCAAAGTTGCATGATTAGAAATATCATTCGGACTGTCACTTCCATGATCTGGTAAGCGACGCTCTGATTGGTCGGATGAGAGGTCGTTCTGACGTGACCCTTCATGGGATGTCCTTAGATCTTTGATTAGCGGTAGCGAGAACTGAGGTCGGATTTAAATGAGATTGTATTGAACGAAACCGAGGCGTTGATTCGACATCGAACTTTGGCTACACTTCTGAAGGAAAAAAAAGTCAAAAGGTGAATCGTCACTATTACCTGTATTAAATAGTTTGTGTATTTGAGGCGTTGGTTTTAGAAGAGTACCAATGTTTGGTGGTTTATTTGTTGTTTAACGCCGCACTCGGAAATATTCCAGCTATATGACGGCGGTCTGTAAATAATCGAATCTGGACCAGACAATCCAGTGGTTGACACCATGAGCATCGATCCACGCAATTGGGATACGATGACATGCATCAAACAAGTCAGCGAGCCTGACAACCCGATCCCGTTAGTCGCTTCTTACGACAAGCACAGTCGCCTTTTACGACAAGCTTGGGTTGCTGAAGACCTCTTCTACACCGGATCTTCACGGGTCTCCAATGTTTTGAGCTGAAGTCTTGTAGCGTCTCATCCACAAACTGGTGGCTATTCTAATGTTAACATATAAAAATGGGAGGTGGACTGGGTCTAAGTTTCATTTTGCATAAACCTATATAAATTTAATTAAATGTTGTCATTCGTGTAAACAATACGGAGAATTACTGTCACGGCTTTCTCACGATAGTAAGATTCCTCACCGTGAAAAACGACACCGGGAAGCACATAGACCGCCATCTTGGAATTCCAAGCCTGACAGCTGCCATTGTACAGTCATGGCCTGGCAGTCTCACATTTGTTTTGGACTTTTGAGGAAGATATATTAAACCTTCTGCAATCTCATTAAAATATTTACTCCGACACCTTACCTCTCCGCTGACACCTTGGCAGGCCTATGGGAGCATTTCTAAGAGTGACAGCGATGTATGTATAGATGTTTGCTAATGGGGCTGAAGGGGTCGTTGTCGGCACAGGTACTACAAATATGTATCCCAGGTACGTTTCTGTATACAGAAATGTACCCTAGCTAAAATCAGAATACATACATCCGGGGTAGAATAGGTCTTCAGCAACCCATGCTTGCCGTAAAAGGCGACTATGCTTGTCGTAAAAAGGCGACTAACGGTATCGGGTGGTCAGGCTCACTGACTTGGTTGATGCATGTCATCGATCCCAATTGCACGGATCTATGCTTATGATATTAATCACTGGATTGTCTGGTCCAGGCTCGATTATTTACAGACCGCCGTCATATAGCTGGAATATTGCTGAGTGCGGCGTTAAACAACAAACCAACCAAACAGAATACATAAAGGTACCCGAGGATGAGTGAATTCCGCCACAGGCCGTATTGCGCAATGCGCTTAACCCGTTACTTGAGCTGAAAGGTTCGCTGTCGGCACAGGTAATACAGAGATGTACCCCAGGTATACAGAAATGAACCCTAGCCAAAATCAAAATACAGAATCGTACGCTAGGGTGAGTCCATCCCGTTGCAGGGCCATAGGGCGCAATGCGCGCAACCGGTTCATTAGGTATTCGTCACTTCCTGTGTGCCAAACCGCGGTTAAATTCATCATGGCAGTCTTAAGCTGCATTCCAGCGTATCATATAGGAAACGATCATACATAGTGACGTACGTACATTCATCTAATATTCCACGATGCACGCATGCACTCGTAATCAGGCGAACCGGAACTACAACATGAACCGGTTTCGGTTTCGGGTTGTGGAATATGGACTCGTTCGCCGTTTCGGGTACCAGGTACGTTTCTGTATTTTGGTTTAGGCTAGGGTACATTTCTGTATACATTTCTATAGTACCCGTGCCGACAACGACCCCCTCAGGGCTAATGGGTGGAGGGGTTGAGTCAAATTCTCATGCAAATTTGTTTATACAAAGAGGAGGTGGGAGAAGGGTGGCATGCCCCGACAGGCCTGTTAGGAGGTCGCGTCAGTTTAACCCCAAGCGATATATGACCGATAAAAAGAGAGACAGAACACAAATATTCCTTCGATGGTATTCCCTTGAGTTATTCGACTTTCAGCCGTTACAAGTGTGGTAGGTAAAGATAATAACAATCTGGTATGTGTTCATCTGAAATCACGCTTAGATGGGGGCCAGCCACATGAGCATTCTGTAGGGTACTTTGCCCCCAAGGTCGTTTGTCCAGAACACCTCAGAAGAAACGTTCATACGGTTCTCGTCCAATGGACGAAGCAGACGACCATTCGGGTTACAATCTGCGCATGCGTCAAACCAAAATCCGCTTTCGTATTCGACGGCACAGCTTCCGGCATCATTGTCGTTGTCTCTGTCGTACGTGCTGAATGCGGAACCGTTTAGCGGAGTTAAACAATCACCTAATCGATTCTTGGTGTTGGCACGTGACTCCGAAAAGTACAAACGATAGCCATCTGCCTCATCTGAAAGATGAAAATTGTAATAGAACTGTTGCTTGAAAGAATTGTCACGAAATTTCATTTCAATTTTCAGTGAAAATGTCCCCGGTTTACAAATGTGGTATATCTTCTCCAGCCCCAGCCAGTGATCTTCGTTGGTCAGCCCGAAGCCGTCGCGATATTCTGCCCAACTCCGGTTGAAATCTAACGTGGCAGTTGGTGTTTCCATGCGGTAGTGCATAATTGTTCTTCCTCCATATTTCATGACACATCTCACCGTAAACGGCGTAGATGTAGACGTTGGCTGGATGCTGTAGTAGCCGTTGGGATAGTCGAACCCAGCAGCAAAACCATCACTACAATCTGAAAATAAATAAATAAATAAAAAAATTAATAAATAAATAAATAAATAAATTCAAAGATTTGCAATCTGGAATGCAAAGACAAATCCTTATATTACATGACGTCCTGGTTGTAATTGTGATGTATGCTATGATTAACACCTTTAAACCTGAAACAAATGATAGGAGAATGCAAATAATTCAACCAGGAAACAACTGCGGAGTTTGTGAGGCAAAATTCAGTCAAAAATTGTTGTTGGTTTTTTCACAAAATCATTGAATTATATGTTATTTATACGGTGACATGATAAATATACTTCAAGCAGGGTGGGTGGGCAGGGTGGTTTGGCTCCCCTGCACCTAATTCTGGAGGGTGGGTGGGCTCCCCTGCACCTAATTCTGGACGTATGACGTCTATTTTGCAGCGTTATGTCATCGTGCCAGACTCAAAACAAAGGGATTGTGGCAAAGGGGCCCAGGGTATTTATCATAAAAATGGAAAGATGATACATTGGATAATCGAGGATGAGGCCATGAGAACTTAGGACACTTTATGAGAGAATACTTTTGTACTATACTTTACCCGCAGCTTACGATTGTCATGGCGAATATCGCTTTTAAGAACGGTTCTCAGTAGCGTATTAAAAACACTTTATTTGCGTTTGGTTTTTTTAAATAATATTTTTTTATTCTACCAGCATGTGGATTATTTCTTAAGCTCAGATTGTTTTTTTCACATGATTCAATACCAATCTCTGCCTTTTTCTTATTGTTTTACAATACGTGAGCAATATACTCTCATTTGTTCTGAAGTATTTTCACATAACGTATCCAAAGAAGATGATGGTCGACCTCTGAAATAAAACAGTGTTATATCAAACTGGATGACTTTACAAAAAGGCCTTTATAGTAAATAAATAAGTTGTCATCCGTCAACTTCTAAGTGATCTTATCTAACAATTTACAAAAGTACCTTTTCCCTTAAGATCAGAATTAAGAAACTTTGGCACCCGACGAGCAGATCTCTGTTCATGAGAACAAGGTGGCCAGGGCAATACGTTGACGTCAACGTTGTTCAGGTAGTCTTGAACAAATCGGGCGGTGTGAGGCCTTGCGTTGTCTTGTTGCAAAATTAATCCTCATGGTTGATGTTGGATAAAGGGCACCACAACAGGTCCCAACACTTCATCCCTGTATCGCTGAGCATTCAGGTTTCCTCAGATGATAACCAGCCGTGTTGTAATCTGGCCACAAATGCCACCCTATACCATGACGCCTCCACCTCCAAACGGTTGAACTTCTCTAATGCAGTTTGGCGCCAGTCGCTCTCCCCTTCGTCGGAAAACTCGAACTCTGCCATCGTTTCTGAACAGACAGAACAGACTTTCATCTGTAAAGAGCACTCTCGCCCAGTGACGTCGCTGCCACTGACATACAGTTCGTGCCCATTGTAGTCTGCGTTGACGGTGTAGACGGGTCAAGGCCATTCCACGGAAGGGTCGGAAGGCTCGTATACCAGCCGTACGAAGTCGTCGAAGGACTGTTTGTCTGCTGATGGCATGGCCTAGTGCTGCTGTTGACGTCGCCGTCACACATCTGTTTCGGAGGTGAATCTGCCGGATGTAGCGGTCCTCGACCGGTGTTGTCACTCTCCGTCTTCCCGATCTTGGCCTGTCTTGAGTCTGTCCTGTCTGTTGGTAGCGGATTATCAACTTGCTGATGGTGGTCTGGGAGCAGTTGAAGGTTCTGGCTATCTGACGTTGAGTTGCCCTCATATTGGCCATACCGATCGCTCTGTCTCGTTGCGCTTGTGCAAGTCTGGGCATATTCTTGGTGGGTTTTTTGCTTACTGAATGCCTGCTCTGTCCAACGTCGGTATTTAGGCCACAATTACGCACGTGCATTTGGACCAATGTCTCAAAATCACGTTTTGCACGTTTTCAACAATGCATGATTTGGAAAGCTGCGTTCAAAAATCTGCGTTGTGGTTGTGGTCATGTTGCATATGGGCGAATGTTTTCTGCGGGGGTTCAAACCTGTACCAGCTTTTTTGCTTTTTATACAACTATTTTTAAAGTGACAACTTTCTTTTGTCCGGTAGTTTAGTTCACTTTGTTATGGCCCATAGTTGAAAGTTAGTCAGGCTCAGAACCTTTCGACCAGCCCCCGTTTGTGTTTTGTATACCATGCTCCACCATCACCCTTGGGCACGCCAGAAACCTATGATTGTGGGTTCGAATCCCGGTTCGCCCCGATTATGTTTCCAGGTTTGTCAGCACCATACCCGTGCTCGTGGGTTTCACCAAAGTGGTAAACGTCTGAGACCTGCATCACTTCGGGCTTGCCTTCCACATTAACCTGACACGCCGTGACATAACTGGAATACTGTTAAAAGCGGCGTTAAACCCAATTCACGCACGCACGCCATCGCCCGTAAATACATACGGCCTATTTGTATTGTACTCACAAAATTAAATCGTAAACTATTATTCTCCCACATGACGGCTTTAGCTGTTTTAAACAATAGGTGGTGGCAAATGATGAGACCCCATTTTTAACCTACGAATCAAGCCACGGCCTGGTTCCAGTGAAAACTCGATGAGAGCTCAGAGTTCGTTACGCAAACGGAAATAGTTCTCATGCACCGCGGGCCATAGCCCTGAGGCCACCTGCTTTGAACACTGCTTCAACATCACGCAGTGGCCACAGTCCCGAGTGTCAAACTGGATACAATATTGGCGTAAAAGTAAAGATTAATATCCGGGCTGTACATACCTAATCCAGTGAAGACATCGTGTTGATCCTCTCTACGCCTACATTTTAACCCGGCCATCAGGTTTATCAGAATATGTATTGAACTTAGAACCTTTTAAGATCGTTGTAGTTTTAATCTCATTGATGTAACCGCTCACTGTGTCAACATATTGCATAATGTAAAGGTAATAATAATAACTCTTTTTAACTTTTACCTTCTCGCGTGTGTATATATGAATAAACAAATTATAATTGTTATTGTGCAATTGCATGTAGCCCGTGGCTACTTTGAATGCCTCGTATTTAATATATATGACGTCAACGCCAGAGAATAACCAGTCTCGATTATCCGCCGAAACAGATTCCAATAGACGCGAAAGGCAAAATAGCTTTGAAAATTAAATGATTTATATATCATGGAAACTCAGTGATGCCACGTGGTTTTTTTCCGAAAAGGGTAAGCGTGTCCTACTGGTAGGACCCGTCCCCCGTCCCTTTGCAATAAAAAAGTAAGTGTTTGTTTCTTGCTTGATGTCGCACATCAGTACCCTGCTAGGCGACAGCGGCCTGTAAACGAACCAGACAATCAATACATCAAGGAAAACTATTTCATGTTCATACAAAGTTCAATCAGCCATAATTTATTCAATGCTACATGAAAAACCTAAAACAGTGAAAGTGTTTATCCCTCGTTTAACGCTTAGTATACCTCTTTAGAATCAAGAGCATCTTCTGGCTTTGGCAAAGTTATGAATAAGTTAATATCTGGATTATTTCTTTGAAAGGTGTCTGGTGTTCCCCACTTTTCGGACCATAGGTCATAATTAGGGGAATACTAACCCGGAACAACGGATACTGGCACGGCTAAGGGACGCAACTCTGCACAGCAACAAATGCCCAAACATGCGAATGAATACATGTTTGTGGATAAAGTCAACTTTTTAAGTTCTAAAATTATGTGAATATGCTGTGCTATTTCATTTTAAGGTCTGTGAAAATTTTATCTTCTGTTCAGCCCTAAAATATGTATTTAGGCATGCTCCATTGAGGTTTCAGCTGATTAGGTAGCAGATGGAATTCCATTATAAATTATCGCTAGTGTCGTAAATGCCTTTGGGCGTCCAGTGCGACCCTGCTACAGTTACTAAATGTACGGCTTGTACGTTGATGGCATGAAACCCCTTCTTGCACACGAATGCCGATTCGTCATCCCCGCTAGGTCTTTTTATGGGTATAAGGGTACCATCAATGGCACCTATTACCCGCGGCATCTCCGCGATCTTGTGGAAGCCACACATAACGGTAGGAAAGGACGCAGGTTCTGGGAATTGGACGTTCTCCAACACACTGCTCAGGGCAGACACAGTTCTGTGAAATGCCCTCGACACAGTGGACTGGTGCACACCATGCAGATCACCCATCTCGAGCAAGAAACCACCCTTACTTAAAAAACGCAGTGTAACAAGAAACTGTGTCTCTGGCGTTAGGGCATACGAACGTTTTGTGGGGTGCTCTATTAATGGTCGGACTTTGTCCAATAACTGGAACAAGGACGAACGAGGCATTCTGTATCGCGCATACAGCTCGTCGTCACTTAGAATTTCGAGTTGCATGGTTCTATCTCTAAAAACCCGTTCTCTCCTAATAAAACTGTCATATTCTTCGTAAAATAGCACCGTAGACGCCATCTTGGACGATTGTAAGGACTTAAGATTGGTCCGGACCAATTGTAAGTTTCGATTGTAGCTTACAATGATCTTAGCCTACAATCGCTTTTGAGCAAGTGGATGACGATTGTAGCCGAAGCCTAAGATCGCGATCTTAAGGATTTACAATAATTGTAGCGCTAAGATCTTAGTTACAATCGATCTTAGGCGGCTACAATCAACTTTACAATCACCATACAATTGTCCTATTCCACTTGCACAAACCGATCTTAGCGCGATTGTAAGACGGCTTGGAGTTAAGATCGCGATCTTAGCTAAGATTGAAATCTTCAACTGTGGAGGTACGAATATTTTAAACTCGACTCCTGTCTATAGTTGTCTGCAAACGGGCATAGTTTGCTGCGCATACAATAAGTGGAACCGGTAACGACACGCAACACGTACCTCCCTCCATCGCACTTTTCCCAATTATTTGAAGGAAACGATTACTAGAATGAAGGCATATATTCTTGTCGGCATTAATACTGTCGTGATTTAGGAATTGTTTTCTATTTCAACAAGAGAAATACCTACTCATGTTTTTATTCAAAGTATTGAAATGCGAATAAATACATTATTTAGTAACACAATTATTATGAAAATTAAAATAAATAATAATAATATTTCCTAAAACCCAACGTGTAAATGCATGATCGTCATCTATTTGGGGGAGTTTTTCGTAAAATCCTAAATATATCCTTCATGTTTTCGTTTCGTTGCTACAACAAAGGATGTTATGACTACCATTTCAAAACACAGAAAGACGGGAACTTTCAAAAACGCATAGACGGGAAATAAGAATAATGAGTAATGTTTCGAGAAAGCAATTGTTAATATATATTCCCTAGGTATTAATTAAAAAAAAAAAAAATTTAAATGTGAATTTTATTTTTGCTATTTATGGGATATTTTGCAAAAAAAATCAAATGTTTCATCATGTATATTTGCTTGTTTGATGAATACTTGTATTTTTTTCTTTTAAACTCTGATTAACCGCTCGTCCCCGTCCCATTTGATTTTAGATTTAAACATGTATGATTTGCTCTTCAGCTTGTATTTATTTGTAGATTAATTTCATGATAAACTAACGACAAAATAACTGACACGAATATGACCCCAAAAATATATAGGGGAAGCTCAGCGATTCAACAACATTGATACACTGGGTAAGGTAGATTGTACTCTACGGGCTTATACAAAGGGAAACCACTCCCATCTAGAGTATAAACTAAGATTAGCTGCCCTTGAGTTATCGAAAAGGTCACGGACGTTGCAAATCGCTTGCGGGACGACTTAAGGTTTTTATCCTTCCCTTGTTTAGCGAAAAGGTATGTTGTTTTATATTTCTTTCAGTATTGAGTCGGATGGGAATATTCCTTTTAGCTATCGACTCGATAGTTACGTATTTAACTATGGTAATTAACTATATTTCTGACGTTAAATCTGTGGTGCGTTCTTCATGTTGTTAAAGTGTCGATTCGAATGATAAAGTTTAGAAAAAAAGAGAGGCAATGTTTGAACGTAAAGCAGATTATTTATGTGAAACAGACTAAGCCTTGCACGCCATTTTGTCAAGTTTATTCAGGGACTACAACGATCTTAGCTACTTCCCAAGATTGGTCCAGACCAATCTTAAGTAGCTAAGATCGTTGAAGTCCCTGACAAAATGGCGTGCAAGACAGGGCCAGTTCCACATTAATAATCTGCTTTACGATCAAACACTGCCTCTTTATTTTGTTAGATTTTAAGATTCGAATCGACACTTCAACAACACGAAGACCGCACCACAGATTTAACGTCAAAAATATCGTTAATTGCGATAGTGAACCACATAACTATCGAGTCGATAGTTAAAAGTACTATTCCCACCCGTGTCAATGCTGAAAGAAGTCTAAAACAACATACCTTATCAAGGGAAGGATGAAACCTAAGTCGTCTGCAAGCGATTTGTAACGTCCGTGACCTTTAAGATAAATCAAGGGCAGCTAATCATAGTTTATATTCTAGATGGGAGTGGTTTCCCTTTGTATAAGTATCGTAGAATCTTCCTTGCCTAGTTAGTGTATTAATGTTGTAGAACCGCCGAGCTCCCCTTGTATATCTTTTGGGTCACATTCGTGTCAGTTATTTTGTCTTTAGTTTATCATTAAATAATCTACAAGTAAACACAAGTTGAAGTGCAAAATCATACGTTTATATCCAATATCCAGTCACGAGCGGTTGTAATATCTGAATTTATAAGAAACTAATACAAATATTCGTCAAACAAGCAAATACACATGATGAGACATTTGAAATTTGTGTAAAATATCCCATAAATAGCAAAATTAAATTCACACTTTTTAAAAAATATAATTAATACCAAATGAATATATATTAAACAACTTCTTTCTTGAAACATTATTCTTATTTCCCGTACATGCATTCTTGAAATCTCCCGTCTTACTGTGTTTTGAAAAGGTTGTCATAACATCCTTTGTAATAGCGGCAAAACTAAAACATGAAGGATATACATGTATTTAGGATTTTACGGAAAGCTCCTCCAAATAGATGACGATCATACATTTACCTGTTATGTTATTTGGACATAGAGATCTATTATTATTTTCTTTTTTTACTTTCATAATAAGAATGTCACTAAATCTATATGCCAACATTCTAATTATAGTTTCCTTCAAATAGTTGAGACCTTTCAACTGTGCAAGGTGCGTGGAGGGAGGTACGTGTTGTATGTCGTAACCGGTTCTACACGTTGTATGCGCAGCAAGATTTGCGCGTTTGCAGACAACCATAGACAGGAGTCTAGTTTAAGATATTTGTACCTCCACCATTGAAGATTTCAATCTTAGTTAAGATCGCGATCTTAAATCCAAGCCGTCTTACAATCGCGCTAAGATCGGTTTGTGCAAGTGGAATAGGACAATTGTAGGGTGATTGTAAAGTTGATTGTAGCCGCCTAAGATCGATTGTAACTAAGACTGTTCTGTGCAAGTGGGCCCAGGAGTGATTGGTCTAATGACACTTACTCCAAGTTATCTCTATCAGCATTCACACACGCATAATAAAGAAACGCAACACTAGTTTATACTCACATAGTTTTACTTACTCTCAGCCCATCTATCAATACAGGACAGGATCAGACTGGCCAGGCTCGTCACTAGCTGGGGGAAACTTAGAACGATCGGGATTCGACTCGATCGATTGCAAACCGCGCTCTCCTCTCCTAATGTTGAGGGTATCATTTTATAGTGTTCGAGCCTGGCCTGTCCTTGTCACATGTCTCAATACCTCCATTTGATTCGTTACAAGTTTGATCTGACCATGAACTCATGTGTGTCGTAATCGGAAAAATACCAGAGCCTATGTGCCATATTGCTCATCTCTCTATTGATTTTGTGACACGCGTCCGGAAGCTCCAAATGAATTATGCCTTGAAACTCCCCATTTGTTTCATTAACTCATGGACGATAGCCAGAAACCAATACAATGATAAATGTGAAATGTCGCGGATACACTTGTGATAAATGTGAAATGTCTTTTCTCTATTGATTCCTTTCAAACTAAAAGTTCTGTCACAAACTATATCTAATGCAACTCCTCATTGTAGCTATAATGGTTCTATTTGTTATCATTAGTTTCTGAGATGGATTTTTAACCTTATAACACTAGTCTAACAAAACATATTGTGTCCATGTGAGAATGTCTTTCATGGTATTTTAACCAGCACTTTAAACGGGGTGATGAGTTGGGGACAGACGTGCTCCTTATATACAATAAAAATACTTCTACAAATGCAAACTGTTTCCGATGATAATTTGGATGAATATTTTAAGACAAAAATATCATTCTGTTGTGGCTTAATCTTTCTTTTTCAATGATTATGATGAAAGAAAATTTCTTTAAATAAATCTTACCATGAAAATCATCATCTTCCCGAGGCAAGGGAGTTAACTGACTATAAAAGTAATTGGACTAGGCTGCAATTATGGAGTTATATTTTGGCTCGACTAACGAATCTATGCATAATCCAATCAAAATCCGGTAACGAAATCGGCATCCGGTTCGTAAACTGCCTAGCAGATTTCGGTCGATTGCATGATTTGCAGATCATGTCTACCGTCAACTTAGCGTCAACAGACATTTTCCAAATCTTTTCATGTTTTTAATCAAGGTGCTCACTTGATTTGATACACTTCTCGGAGTAAGACCCGTTTTATTACTAAATTGATCTTGATTATCGACCAGATCGTCTTCACTTGGCGACGCCATTTTATTTGAAGCAAATGCAAGTGATATGAGAGGTCGAATCTGATTTGTCAGTAGGAGCGATATGGAAGGGACATAACTCGTAAAAGCCACTGGTGGCGCTACGATCGAGCCCTGAAATTCCAGCGTAGTTCGGCAAGGGTGGAATCTGGACTTTTACCGTCAGTAAACGCCCTTGCCTCGGGAAGATGGTAAATCATGTGACACTGCTGAACTGAAGGCATTAAGAATAGGAACACGAAGAGAGAAGCGTCCTTGCCTGTTTCAGTGACTGTTACACCTACCTGTCATTAAACGTTCACACCGTGTACCCACGTAGCCATTGACACACTTGCAGGTCGAGTCGGGTTGTAGAATACCGCCATTTGCACATTCTTGAGCCTGACATATAAAACATGCACAGCAAATGATAGAACCTATCAATAAAAGGACACGATTCTAATCAATACGATACGATACCAAGTCAGCGAGCCTGACCAACCGATCCCGTTAGTTGCCTCTTACGACAAGCCAAGTCGCCTTTTACGACAAGCATGGGTTGCTGAAGACCTATTCTACCCCGGATCTTCACGGGTAGCCAAGGCTCTGTTCATCACGGTCATCTAAATTTGACGTAACCATACATGACGCTTCGCTGCAGTGAGCCTGAATTGCAGAGAACAATGTCCACATGCCCACTGGGATATATTTTCTAGTTGTTACACTGCTGTAGCGGGGTACGTGGATATTTATCCAACAGTCACTGACCAATGGAATTCAAGTAATGTACAAGCATGCAAGGAAGGATAAAACAATATGTTCAGTCCGCTGTGTGTCCGGCCAAAAGACTTAAAGAAGTTTGTGACGCTTTTTTTTTTAGTGGAGGCTTTTGTAGAAGGGTAGCGCTTCAGCTAAAAATAGCGACCAGTGAAAAATTACCTAACATAGTGTATGTCTAATATTTCGAAGGCGTTCACAGCCATCGTCTCATTGGCCTGTACCGGCTCGTATATTGTGATATTAGAGACGGGGCCCAGCTTATGACTCAGCATAACACCACTGCCACGGGCTAATTTGCATATCATGTGACCGGACATGCGTAGTTATCCTATGTTTACATTGGTTGTACGGCTCCACGTGCTGTCATCGAAGCCCTTCGGGGTGCTAGCGATACGGTCACTTTGATGTGTAAATATGTATTGTCATGCAACTCACTGTCGCAGTTGTAGTACCATATATATATAATTATGCCAAACGATATGTAAAGCGCCCCCAAATACTTGCATTAGTCCGTTCTATTCTGATTTCTGAAAAAGCGCGTTTCTTTTCAAACAAAAGAAAAGTCCGGTCACGTGATATGCAAATTAGCCTGTGGCAGTTGTGTCATGCTATGTTGCCAGTCACACCGGCGAAACAATGCCCTTTGACATCAGTGGTCATCGAGTTTGCATAAGCTCCCCTCACTGTTCTATCATCTCTGCACGCAATGTCATTGATTAAGCCCAGCGATGTTGAGAGTTTTGAATATTTGTTTTTTTAATATAGCCTGCGGTGGTGCATTTAATAGCAAGCGCTCGTTTATGAAAGCACTTTTATTTTTAATGTATTTTTTATTTCGTGTTTTTCATAATTCAAGTGTCTAAAATGATGATAAATTGGAACTAATACACACATATTATTTTTTTGATTCGGTATTTTTCATTATTATGCACAGGAATGCAGTTTATTAGGAAGCAAGCGCTAGTTTATGAAAGCACTTTTATTTTCAGCATATTTTTTTATTTCGCGTTCTTCGTAGTTCAAGCGGCTACAATGATAAATGGGAACTAATACACATACATTATTTTTTAGATTCATTAATTTTAATGATTATGCACAGGAATGCAGTTTATTAGGTATATTGTATTGACGCTGAACACATCCAAATGTCGCCTGTGTTAGAGTAGGTTACCCCGAACTTTAGCCTTAGCCCTTGGATCCCCTTTACGATCAATCAACCCTAACTTAACGATCATGAGGGTTACGTTCTCGTTTAGTGGCTTTCATAGATTCAAAAGCGGTTCCTAATATTCTTCACACAAAAACGCCGAGAAAGCAGGATGAAAAGATTAGTGTCGAATATTTTGGCTACTGAAAACTGTCCGAAACATTCACACAAGCCACTTTCACCCGCTACATTTATTCAGTATTGATTCAAAAGCGGACTCACCCTTGTGGCGTCACCAGCATGCTAATGCCTCTCTCGTTCGTCGTTCCTTACTATGATCCACATTATCCTAACAGTGTTTCCAACCACACTTTTGTCACAAAAATCACCCGACGTATTATTAAATACTGACTGCTTGTCTTTTCAGGCTGCTTGTCTTTGAGACACGTTACCTACAGCAGAGATCTCCCTCACAAGAAATTGTAGTACTTTAATTAAAAGATGCTCCGAACAATGTACTTGCCTTTGCATGTGTTTGTGATGGGTGCAATCTGTTACTATAACTATCTGCTAGTGATTCACAACAACCTGATAATGATATACTCAGAATTGCACAAGGGACACTTATTATTGTGAACATAGTTTTTTGTCGCTTTGATTTATAAAACTGGGATATAAAATGAAGAAAAAGACTCTCTTGATATATTTTTATATACCATGCTGGTGTTATACGCTTTTTCCGTAATGGAGAAATCATATATATATTGAACCGCAAAAGAAACGTTACCCCAAGTAACACTGCATCAAAAGTTGTCATTTAAATATCTGGGTAATTTTTCTAAAATTTAACATTACCTTGTCCGGAAAAAACGAAATTTGATAATAGAAAAAACAAAGCAGATGACAATAAAACCGATCGCCCAAGCGCATCACGGCAACGGCCATGGTAACCCAATGCACGTGAGTTCCGTGCAAATTAAAATGCACATTTCTTGCCCTATAAAAATCCACCAAGATCGGATAATATTCATTCGTTATTGAATTGCTACCACATGCCAAGAATGACAAGAAATCAGCGACACCAAGCCCTTGGACGATTGCAAGCTGGACAAACCGCCCGGCAAGTAGCCAATGCATTTCAAGTCCACGTAAGGACCATATACAGGTTCCAGCAACAGCACCAGACCACCAACACTACAGATGACCGACCTCATAGTGGAAGACCAAAAACACGACCCGACGAGAGGATCGTCACGTTGTGCGACAGCATCTTCAATATCGCTTTGTTACTGCTGCGGGAACTGCTCGACAGACCATGGGGATACATCAGCGACACATTAGAGAGAGAGAGAGAGAGAGAGAGAGAGAGAGAGAGAGAGAGAGAGAGAGACTTCCTCCAGCAGAATGTCATCAGAACCATGCCGTGGCCTGCCCACAGTCCCGATTTAAATCCCATTGAGCACCTGTGGGACGAGATTCAAAGACGGCTGAATGACGTCCAACCAAGGCCGAAAACTGCAGCTGAACTGCGTCAGGCGTTCCTCAGAGTGTGTGCTCAAGTGCCTATGGCCTTCATCAACCGCCTCAACCATTCCATGTATCGACGTTGCACGGCAGTCATCAATGCATATGGCGGACAAACGAGATAATGACTTGTGATATTTTTCTCAGAGACTAGTGTTGTGTTTTACTTTAAGAACATTTGACACTTTAATTTCAACCTTGATGATCAGTTTTGCCAAGTTTCATCTTTTTAATATGTCTCAAAGTATGTTTACATTATTTGGACAAATAAGGTTTCTCATATATCTATCCATGGTGACGTTTCTTTTGCGGTTCAGTATATATAACATCACGAGTATTCAAGACGAGATTCAGGCAAATAGTTTAGGAGCTATTAATGGGATGTTATCAACGTATTCTGATATATCATGCCAGAATATTTCAGCGTTATCAGATGTCAATACAACTGTTTATTTCTTGCTTTTGTTATACTTCTGAAAATGAGATGTAAAATACCTCAGCGATTTGAACGAGTGTCACTAAGACATTGTGTATGTTAATAGGTTCAGCTATCCTGCCATTGTAGGCACTGACTGTCAACAATGACAGTCACTTGTACTATTGCAGCAACCGCCTCCCTAGTCTAGTGGGTAGAATGTCTGTCTTTAGAGCAGAAAGTCGGTGGTTCTATCCACAGCTTGTCATACTAAACGTCTTTTAAAGATGGTTCTTGTTACCCTGCCTGGCGCTAGGTATCCACGGATAATCGAGACTGGTTATTCTCTGGTGTTGACGTTATATATTTTAAATACGAGGCATTCAAAGTAGTCACGGGCTACAGGCAACTGCACAATATTAATTATGATGTGTTTATACATAAATACTTATGAAGGTTAAAGTTTAAAAGAGTTAATATAACCTTTACTATTATGCAATATGTTGACACAGTGAGTGGTTACATCATTGAGATTAAAACTATAACGATCTTAAAAGGTTCTAAAGTGGGATAGCGGAAGTCCTAAAGAAGCCTTCCCGTGGTTCAAGGCTGACACTAATGGTGGTTCATGAGGATCTATTCTATTGATCTATACGCTTGTAAAATCAAAAACCAATTTTTTTATGATAGCATGGCGGGATTCACACAATGGATCCCCTACAGTTATCAAAATAAGAGGTTAGTGGATAAATTATTTTTTAAAAGGTTCGACGATAAACCATGAACAGGTTTTCGTGCTTTAAATTTTTTTCTCCCTAGAAACTACTAAGTATTTATAAATATACAATAATTACTTAATCTCAATACACAAGGTACTTTGTGCCACAGTTACTAATATCACAGCTTATCGTGGCACCTTGTAAATTATCAAGAGTTGATTATGTGATTGAGGGACTGGCAATTTGATATTCAGATTCGGGATGAGTGAGTGAGTTGGGTTTAACGCCGCTTTTAACAGTATTCCAGTTATATCACGGCGTGTCAGCTTAATGTGGGAGGGAAGCCCGATAATTTGGGAGAACCGGGATTCGAACCCTCAATCATAGGTTTCTGGCTTGCCCAAGGGAGGCAACTCTGCACATCGAATTGCGGCGCCTTAGACGACTGGGCCACCCGTGCCCCCAGATTCGAGATGAGGGGGATCAGGAATTTTGTATTAAGTCTACATGACAAGGTATTTTGTCAGCTGCTGCAAAACCAGATATTTCTTTCATTAAAACTATGAGACAAAATATTTTGTTTCTAACAATTCGATAAAATCCCAGGCCCCTCACACCCCATAACCATAAAGCAGAGTCCATTGTATATTGACTCTTTCATTAGCAAAGTGATGCCACCAAGTGTTCTCGATAGGGTGAGCTGTACATGGCCCACCAGTGACACCCGTGAGTCATTGCTCACCTGAAAAAAAAACCGGGAAAGCATGGCGCAAATCAAATAGGGAATTGCATCAGACATAATTTTCGTCAATGATATTGGAAATGTCCTCCACATGTCTACCATAACACTTTCTGAAAGCCTTCTAAGGCCTCGGCTATTGTACCCTGATCATAAAGAGTCGTATCCTCAAGTGTACCTTATATTAAACGTTGTGAAGTTTAGGCACCAGAGCCTGGAGCTGAAGGGAATACTGCTCCACGTAAATAATAAAAGGGCAAGTTGACTATTGAAAAGCCATGATTTCTCTTATACCGTCTTGCTGATAGTTTTTTTTGTCATTCTGAGTCTTTCTGATGAGGCGGTTCCACTGGTTTCTTTAATTTTACCTCAGGTGAGTAAATCGGTGGAAGGGAGTTGCCAGCATGGAGGTGGACACAATTGGTGCCCATGGGGATGCCTACTGCCTAATTGTCTTACCCCCAAATTTTACATAGATGTTAGCTATGACGAAGTCCAGCATTCTTCATACTGTTTTCTCAGTAAGCTACGCAATGTTTGTGGTGAGGTGAGGTGAAATGGGGTTTAACGTCGCGTCAGAGATTATTGCACTAACGGTGTATGTGTGTGTGTGTGTGTGTGTGTGTGTGTGTGTCCGGTATGGTGCCCACTGAGATACCATGCTGCAGTTTAACATGAATACCCCACTCAGACACAGTATACCGACTCCGAGCCGACCAGCTCTTGTTTTAGCCCCTTAATGTCGAGCGCCAGACAGGGTAACAAGAAGAACCATCTTTTAACGCGCAATGTTTGAACGCTGTTTGAAGTCAAAATTACATTCATACCTTTACGTAGTAAATCATGTCAGGATAAATGTCCATCTTCGAGCAATCCCCTTGATCAAAGTCCGTGTTGAGATGGCACCTCCTGGAGAGGGAACCGTAATGAAAGGACTTGCAGGAATCACTCTCAGAACATTTTCGTCCGCAGTCCAGCTTCGTCACATCACGAATTATCAAGGATATGTACACGCTCTTCATGATCTGTCCAGGACATGAGGACAGAACTCGGTAATTGTCGGTGTGTATCATGCACACTGGTGTCAGAAGAAGAGCCAAGGTATAGCACGTTATATACATCGCTTGAAGAGTATCTATGTTTCACACCTTGCACTGAAACGCCTATCAACCGGCGAGGTCCGCAGTTCACGTAGTTTGGTGCACGGGCGATTCAGTTTAATCAATATTTGGGTTAAATCAATATTTGGGTTCTTTTTCACCAAACACATTAACTGTTGTGGAGACATAACTACATTGTTAAGTTGTTTGATGTCGGGTAAAAGTATTTGTCGCCTTGGAAGAACAGGAGATTTCATTTGTCAGACCCAACCGCTATATATATATATATCAATATTAATAGATTTTGCTACTCAGGAAATCGAAAAACTCATTGATCGGTAATCAACAGGAAGCAAGGTATCGATCCGATTTGTAAGCTCACATGGCCCGAAGGCCCGAGTCAGCTTATGGTATGGTTCATTTTCCATCGCAAGAACGAACCGGCGACTTTGTTCGCCTGACATGATATGACTGGAATATGATTTAAAAAAATATATACTTAAACGCAACAAAAACAACAACAAAAATGTCGAGAACGGACTTCCGAAAATATCACACTTTACGTGCTGTAAAACATCTTTTTTAATTGTGTTGTTTTAATGAAACGAAAATGTTGTACATGCAAGGAAAACATGTGACAAGATTCGACATCTGCTGTAACGGTACGTCCTTGTTATTGAGGCTGGCTGTGTGAAACTGTAACAAACAGTTCCAGCACTGTAACTAGCCAGCAATTCCTGATTAAACAGTGAATATTCAATATAAACGAACGTCGCTGTCTCAGGAGTCTCCAAATTAGATTAAGACAGATAAATATGTTCTCGCAATTAAACCCCGTGACAGTTAAACCAACCTACTCGTTTCAACGATAATATTATTGAGCGTTAAAAATGTGACAAAACTTTTAAAGGCAAATATATTAACTTGTTTTTCTTAGGATATTAAATTGCGAATTCAGACAGAGACAATACGTCTGATCTTCACGCCGTGTGTTTTTTGGTATTCAATAATATTCATTTCGAAAAGAGGTGATTAACGGGATCGGGTGGTCAGGCTCACTGACTTGGTTGATGCATGTCATGGTATCGCAATTGTGTGGATCGATGTTCATGATGTCAATCTCTGTATTTTCTGAACCTGAAACGATTATTTGCAGACCGCTGGACTATTGCTGAGTGCGGCGTTAACCCTCTCGGACTCGGAAAGTAAATTAGCTCGTAATTGTGTTTTGGAAATTAGCTCAGTTCTTACGCATGCTGAAAAGGCTTCATTGGGTTTTAGCGCATGCTGTTTTTATACATTTGAGTTTTTCATTTAATGCATGCGTTTCTGTACGCAAGTTATAAACCTATTCATTTGGATCTCTATTAAGTAAGAGAGTTCTTTCTATAGGCATTAAAACCTATTGTGAGGTTTTACTTTCAAAGTAAAACCTATTAAGAGGTTTTACTTTCAAAGTAAAACCTATTATGAGGTTTTATTTTCGTTCGGGAGGTTTTACTTTGAATGTAAAACCTAAAATCCCAGGTTTAACCAAGTAACTGAAAAAATGACAACAAGTAGCAAATCAAAATTTTGATTCAATTAAAATTGAATGTCATGTGTACAGTTCCGCGTGGACATTTGAAAACGACATTACTTCAGAGTCTCTGGTGAAAAGACAGCGAGGTTGCAAAACACGTGCTTTTAAACAAGTGCTTAGCAATGCTGCACAATTTGCACGTGCAGTAACTGCTAGCCGTTACGTCACAACTACCTCTATGTAACAGTTGGATTGTTTAAAGTCGAAAATCTTGTAAAGCAAAAAACACCTTTAAAATTTGCGAATTTTCGTTTTGAAAAGTTTAAAAGAAGTGGAATATTGCAACACAAACATTTAGAAACCGATGATTTCACTTTCATTTAAAAGTAATTATTTTAGTTGTGTTTTGTTGTTGACACATCCAAGCGCTCTTGAACGCCTGGCAAGTCAGCGAATTTCACGTGCAAGTTATGATATCACGTCTTCAAGGAAGCGCTATAATGAAGCGCCTCATTTACAGATGCTCGTTATAACATTTAATCAATTTAGACGGTTTATAAGTGTGGAAAAACACTTTCCCTCGGTTTTGATAGACAGGGCATGCCCTGGGGGTCGGGAAAAACCAAGGGGGCTTCGCCTCGCCCCCTTGGTTTTTCCGGACCCCCAGGGCATGCTCTGTCTACCAAAACCTCGTAAGCTGTTTTCTCTAATACTTAATTGACAGTTATTGGGTTTGGAATATTCGGGGGTATTTTACGCACATAGGCAGCTTATTTGTAGCCCTGCAGTTAATTCATTTAAGGATTGACTGGGATTTTTTTTTGGTTCATTGAGGTATGAATCGAACAACTGATGTGCAAACTGTATGAATCCATCGTAAGCATATCACGTGTTCCAGTTATATACCGGTTGTTGTGGATGGAAAACCAACAACAGCCGCTAACCACATGAAACACACGCCTACATGTGTGGCGCTGTTTGAACATGATATTAATCGGGGAGAGAATGGGTTTCAATGCCATGACCAGTGGATCCTGAAACGGCTAAGGGACACGACTCCACATCCGTGTCCCGAATAGTAAACACGGTCTCAGTTAAATGGTACAAATGCAGTCGCTCAGACATGACACCGATTTATTCCTAAATTGTAGTGTATTTTAAGATAAAGTGCTGCGCATTATTTATTTAAGTATACCAGAAACGTAATTCGAAACAAAATAACACATAATACATGTGCAAATAATTCACAGGTGTAATTTCTCAGCTTGGGGGTACAATTTTTCAATAGTCGGTGAATAACATTTCCACCAAGAACTAAGATATATATGTGTGACAATGTCAGAAATACTAACTATCATTCGGAAAACTACGGAAGCCTTTTAGGGCCATTCGTTTTTTATATTTTTTTCGATACTAAGTTGAAATTTCAAGAAACTAAGTTGAAATTTCAAGATACAGAAGTTGAAATTTCAAGATAATAAGTTGAAATTTCAAGATAATAAGTTAACATCCTAAGATGTAAAAATACATGAATAAGTGAATAATCTTGAAATATCAAGATCTTAGGAAACTTTTTAGGGCCATTCGATACTATCTTGAAATGTCAAGACACTAAGTTGAAATTTCAAGAAACTAAGGTGAAATTTCAAGATCGTATTTTGAAATTTCAAGTTACTAAGTTGAAACTTGTAGATACTATCTTGAAATTTCAACTTAGGATCTTGAAATTTCAACTTCTATATCTTGAAATTTCAACTTAGTATCTTGAAATTTCAAGATAGTATCGAAATAAGCTATTTTTCAAGAATGTAATTAAACGTGACAGATAGTAATAGGTAATTTGAATTAGTTTCCGCCCATGGTCATGAACAGGGCTTCTTTATCCACAAATGTTTCGTAACAGAACAGCGCCCAAACGCAGCTTTTATATCTGGATATGAACCATTGAAGTTCAGATGTAATTTACGTTTAGTAATTTACGTTTGATAAGCATTTGAAAAAAAACCGTTTAGTAGTAAATGTAAACCCCCAAAACTATTTAAACACACGTGTTTGTACCACTGGCCATTGCATGACGCCTTATGATGTCATTGGAAACATCTGGAGGTTTGGCTCGTCCATGTTGTTCAGTAAAACGTAAATTACGAACTCTGTGACGTAGATTTCTCGTGATGGGATCTTCGTTTACTGTTATTTAGCTTTATAAAATCTGACAAATCCTTTTTTTTATTTTATGCTTAGAAGTGTCATCAATTTAAATAACCCGCCAGGTTAAATTAAAATATCGAGTTTTTATCATTTAAGTCTAATTCAAAGACATATCATTTATTGTTGGGAATCTATAAAAAAAAAACAACTTATTTTTAAATATATTTAATATAAATTGTGAATTGCATTTGTCAAATTAATCACTGGGTCAGTATACACTCAAATACAATACAATTGTTTTGGGAATTAATTAATTAATTTTTTAAACTAACAGTTTCAGAGTGACGTAAATTACACATTCAGTATGGAATAGATGAGTGTCAATAAGTTCAAGTAAACTGAACCAATGCAACAGTAATCGTTTGAAGGTGTTTTATATATGCTGCTACTTTAAATTAGACTGTTAATTGCAGACAATGTTGCTAAATTGTTTAGATTTGAAATTTACGTCACGGTCATATGTACTGTGCTACTGTTTGAACGACTGTCTAAATGTGGAACCAAGTATATTTTCATATTGCTAAGTTATATGACTTCCCAGTGACATTTATCACAATATTTTGATGTATGAAGACTTGCCGTCACGGGATCCGTAATGAGGCTTATGTTGTCCTCTGGTTTAATTTCTTGCATATGCAAATAAAGGAGAAAAACTATAAGTATAAAGTAGACAAAAGTCATAGTGCGGGAAATAGCTAATTTCCTTTTAGTATATAATATATGCTGCATTGTCCATCAGAGGATCTTTAGGAATTGCGATAGAATCTGTAATATTTAACCAGGTTTTTTTATGTAAGTTACACTGTAATATCAGGGTAGGTTACTTTGTATTACTGGAATATTGCTGAGTGCGGCGTATAACAATTTACAAACCAACCAACAAACCAACCAACCCACCGACCGACTCCGTAAATAGACGCTCATGAAGTCAATCACTGGATTGTCTGGTCCAGACTCGATTATTTACAGACCGCCGTCATACAGCTGGAATATTGCTGAGTGCGGCGTAAAACAACAAACCAACTCACCCACCGACCGACCGACTCCGTAGATCGACGCTCATGATGTCAATCACTGGATTGTCTGGTCCAGACTCGATTATTTACAGACCGCCGTCATACAGCTGGAATATTGCTGAGTGCGGCGTAAAACAACAAACCAACCCACCCGCCGACCGACCGACCGACTCCGTAGATCGACGCTCATGATGTCAATCACTGGATTGTCTGGTCCAGACTCGAATATTTACAGACCGCCGTCTTACAGCTGGAATATTGCTGAGTGCGGCGTAAAACAACAAACCAACCCACCCGCCGACCGACCGACCGACTCCGTAGATCGACGCTCATGATGTCAATCACTGGATTGTCTGGTCCAGACTCGATTATTTACAGACCGCCGTCTTACAGCTGGAATATTGCTGAGTGCGGCGTATAACAATTTACAAACCAACAAACCAACAAACCAACCAACCAACCAACCCACCGACCGACTCCGTAGATAGACGCTCATGATGTCAATCACTGGATTGTCTGGTCCAGACTCGATTTTTTACAGACCGCCGTCATACAGCTGGAATATTGCTCACTGCGGTGTTAAACCTCATAGAATGAAAGACAGACTCGGGACGTTTCAGTCACCTCTTGTAATAATGATGGGAGTAAGCTGATTGAGCGTAAACGTCGCATCGACATTGTTTCAGCCACATGGCGACTGACAAGGATTTTACGGATATTTCCCAGAAAGATCGGCAGGTAGCCCGGCTCAAACGTCTGTCCATGTTGAATTCTCTAGGAGCAAATTATGTAACCGATGTGTCACGGCAACGTAGCAATTTAACAGATTCACCGAGTTAAAATAATAAATCCGAGTGTTGATAATAGTTCTGTCGTTTGCTTTTAACACGACACGAATGTTGAGAATGTAAAACAGCAATGTACCTACTGACTTCCGTGAACAAGTAAGAGGCGACTTACGGGATCGGGTGGTCAGGCTCGCTGACTTGGTTGAAGCATGTCATCGGTCCCAATTGCGTGTATCGATGCTCCTGAAATCAATCACTGGATTGTCTGGTCCAGACTCGATTATTTACAGACCGCCGTCATATAGCTGGACTATTGCTTTAGTGTGACGTAAAACAAACAAACCAATCCGTGAACAACCGGTTCAGAATTGGTCTTCAGCAACCATGCATGCTTATCGTAAGAGGCGACTAACGGGATCGGATGATCAGGCTAGCAGACTTGGTTCATGCCAGTTAAACAACAAACTTACCGACTAATAATAACAACTAAAACAATTATAGAAAATATATATTATTATTCAAGTCAAGATTTACATAAGTGATGGTATATAACATGTGGATATACAATCTACATACATAACAAATGAAAAAAATCCATTGTGCGTGGGTAAAGAGGTATAATCCATGTTCGGTAAGAAGTGTCTTTATTGAGTGCGATTAATATCCATATACCGTATTCGACGTAATAAGCGCCCCGCTGTCAAAAGCGCCCACGGCGATATTTGCTAATGTATTGGCTAGTAAACAATCCCAATTAGCACCCCTTCCGATTGATCAATGTACACAAGTCATTTATTCGTGTATAATACGCACTCATGTGTTATATGCACCCTTAATTATGGGCAATTAAATTCTGGAAAATATATCTGTCGTGTATAATACGCACAGACTTTTCTTTTGTATCATTTCAGGCTGTCAGCATAAACCACGGAATTAACGATCTTTCAACCTTTTTTTTTCTCAACAAAATTATATTCCAATAACAGCCCCCTATTTCTAATTTTGAGAGCGCCCCGCGCGCTTATTACGTCGAATACGATCCGGGGTAGAATAGGTCTTCAGCAACCCGTTTGCCGTAAAAGGTGACTATGCTTGTCGTAAGAGGCGACTAACGGGATCGGGTGGTCAGGCACGCTGACTTGGGTGAAGCGTGTCATCGATCCCAATTGCGTGGATAGATGTTCATGATATCAATCACTGGGTTAGCCGGTCTAGACTCGATTATTTACAGACCGCCGCCATACAGCTGGAATATTGCTGACCATATTAACAAACCATATTATATGTACAGTATGGGTAGGAACAGTTTCTACCTTCTGTGCCCCTGGTGTGAGTACGTGGGTTTCTCAGTGCGTAACAATGTATAATACAAATGTGGAGAATGTATCTCAGATTCCTCTTAAATCAAACAAAGACTCACTTCAACAGATAAGGTTCGCTTTAGGTACAGTGCTAGTCTGGCTCACTCTCCCTGAAACATATTCCCAGTCCTTACTGTATTGCATTAGCCCTCAACAAAGTAAGTCTACATTTTCAAAAGGTTTCTCCCATCTTCCTGGTCTCCTTTTTAATTTAAATGGAGTTTTTTTGTTTCTTTCAAAATTATATGTTTCAGAGTCTAAGCGTTAGTCTAGTTCAGTGCCACAGTGACCTATGTCAGGGGGTGCTAACGGTCCCCAGCCATAAGCGTGTAGTAGTGTTGTTTTATTCCATGGATAGATATGCGTGTAGTAGTGTTGTTTCATTCCATGGGTAGATATGCGTGAAGTAGTGTTGTTTCATGCCATGGACAGATATGCGTGAAGTAGTGTTGTTTCATTCCATGGATAGATATGAGTGAAGTAGTGTTGTTTCATTCCATGGGTAGATATGCGTGAAGTAGTGTTGTTTCATTCCATGGATAGATATGCGTGAAGTGGTGTTGTTTCATTCCATGGACAGATATGCGTGAAGTAGTGTTGTTTCATGCCATGGATAGTTATGCGTGAAGTAGTGTTGTTTCATTCCATGGATAGATAGATATGCGTGAAGTAGTGTTGTTTCATTCCATGGGTAGATATGGTTGGTCCATCATTGTGCTGGGATACCTACATCAGAATGACATCGCCACACTGGTAGAATGTAGGTGGGGCTTTAGGGTTTTTGGTCATATACTGCGTCTGAAAAACACGAATACAGTAATCACTGTTTCTACAGGATCAATAAGTACACATACACTAAGTGAGTGACTGGAGGTAGAGTTAAACGACTACCAGGTTTGGGTGCTGTTTTACCAAGTCATGTTGTCGACAGTACGTCATAACGTTTATTTAAGAAATAAACGACGAGTTGGAGTTGTTTATCGTACAATAAAACACTGCAGGGAGATCAAACCACGAGGAGCACAGCCATAGCGTTCATCTGCGCTGTCCAGCTACGTCTATGGCGAACAATTCACAAGACACTTCCCTTTCAAAAATAACGTCGTCCAATATACGAGGTCATCAATTTACGAGGTCGTCAAGTTGCGAACGCATGTTCGAATCTCCAGAAATTACGTCATGATAGTAAAATGTTTTATCGTGAAATAAAACATTGGTTGTTTTTATGCGATTTATCGCGTAACTATCTTAGATACAAAGGTACAGATGTAAAATAAAACGTGAACCAAGGAGGACACTTACCTGAATAAAATAACCTTTACCGGTCCTGAAACGTTTAAACGAAAGTTATGTAATCAGTGGTGGATATATGGCATGATGCATACAATATTGTTATACTCAATCCAATGGCTTGTAGCGTGTACTTATTGTTAATATGCGATAACACAGTTTTCTTCATTGCATCTTTGTCATCAATAGAGTACAACTTACCAAGGCAATGTTATATTGTCGTTTGCCGATTTGTGAACGCGTTTGTAAACAGCCATGGCTGCAAATAATTTGGCACTATATTCTGAATGGGGCGGTTCACTCAGGCTTTGTATTCATACGTGTATTCTAAAGTTACCGTGGTGAATAGCAATACGTCATAAAATCGGATTATTTTAAAAATATTAGGAGTAATATATATATATCTCTCTCTCAACTGTTTATCAAGGTATACGTACATGCCCATCGGTATGGTGACATTCATGGAGTAGAGGGAAAGGGATGGCTGCCCCATGTCTGGTATCCTCACCAGCTCCTTCATGGTCGCCTGCCCCATGCCCAGCATGACGGAGAAGTAGCCCTGGAACACCACAGTGGCCATGTATAGTCTATAGTGGTCATGCAGTGGTCATTTAGTGGCTATAACGACAGTGGTCATGTAGTGGTCATTACGACAGTGGTCATGTTGTGGTCATGTCGTGGCTTTAACGACAGTGGCCATGTAGTGATCATGTAGTGGTCATGTAGTGGTCATTACGACAGTGGTCATGTAGTGGTCATTACGACAGTGGCCATGTAGTGGTCATTACTACAGTGGTCATTACGACAGCGGTCATGTAGTGGTCATTACGACAGTGGTCATGTAGTGGTCATTTCGACAGTGGTCATGTCGTGTTTATTACGACAGTGGTCATGTAGTGGTCATTACAACAGCAGTTATGTAGTGGTCATTACGACAGTGGTCATTACGACAGTGGTCATTACGACAGTGGTCATGTCGTGGTTATTACGACAGTGGTCATGTCGTGATCATTACGACAGTGGTCATTACGACAGTGGTCATGTCGTGGTCATTACGACAGTGGTCATGTCGTGATCATTACGACAGTGGTCATGTCTTGGTCATTACGACAGTGGTCATTACGACAGTGGTCATGTCGTGGTCATTACGACAGTGGTCATGTCGTGATCATTACGACAGTGGTCATTACGACAGTGGTCATTACGACAGAGGTCATGTAGTGGTCATTACGACAGTGGTCACGTAGTGGTCATTACAACAGTGGTCATGTCGTCGTCATTACAACAGTGGTTTAATATGGTCATTACAACAGTGGTCATGTCGTGGTCATTACGACAGTGGTCATGGAGTGGCCATTACGACAGTGGTCATGTCGTGGTTATTATGACAGTGGTCATTACGACAGTGGTCATTACGACAGTGGTCATGGAGTGGCCATTACGACAGTGGTCATGGAGTGGTCATTACGACGGTGGTCATGCAGTGGTCAATACAACAGTGGTTTAATATGGTCATTACGACAGTGGTCATGGAGTGGCCATTACGACAGTGGTCATGTCGTGGTTATTATGACAGTGGTCATTACGACAGTGGTCATTACGACAGTGGTCATGGAGTGGCCATTACGACAGTGGTCATGGAGTGGTCATTACGACGGTGGTCATGCAGTGGTCAATACGACATCAGAAAGTGGAGTCACGGAACAACCTAACAAAGGCACCGCATAAACGTCACGTATGCTCCACAAGTTGGAAAAACGAAAAATCATTGTGCTGTTGTGTTACCGAACTCCCGTGAAGTATCCCCCGTGTCAAACATGAGGAAGGTTTGATATTGTAATGGTTTTGTTTGTTTGTTGTTGCACATATAAAGATACAATGAGTGAGAATGGTTTTGCGCCGCTTTTCGCAATATTCCCGCAATATCATGGCAGGGGACACCAGAAATTTGCTTCATACATCGTACCCATGTTGGGAATCGAACCCGGGCCTTCCACATGACGAGCGAACGCTTTAACCACTAGGCTACCCGACCGCCCTATATGACGATAGAAGGGCATCTGATAACAATTATACTTACCGGTGTCGCCTTAACCCAGTGGTCGAGGTTTTTTTGAAAGGTCACTGTGAAGTTTTGGCCTCCACTAAAAGTAAATCGTTCCTTATCAGAAAACAAAGTATGAACAGACATGGGCTTGAAAAATGGTATGAGGTGAGGTGAAATGGGGTTTAACGTTGCGTCCAAGATTATTGCACTTATATAGCGACGTGCATGTACGTGTGTGTGTTTGTGTGGCTGCTTGTACTAGTCCGGACTGATGCCGATTTATAGTGCTAGCTCACTAGAGATACCATGCCGCAGTTTAACATTAATACCCCACTCAGACACAGTATACTGACACCGAGCCGACCAATCCTTGTTTTAGCCCCTTAACGACGAACGCCAGACAGGGTAACAACAAGTACCATCTTTTAACGTCTTTTGGTATGACGCGGTCGGGGATCGAACTCCGGACCTTCCGTTCTCCGGGCGGACGCTCTACCACTAGACCACGGAGGCGGTCTAAACAATGGTATGATAAGATATCGCACAAGTACCATAAATATCGCATTAAGCTTTTTTCTTGTAAACATAAGCAATATACTAATATATACAGATTTGCCATGGGTAGAGTATTGGTCTTCTGCATCCCGTGCTTGTCGCAAGTGGCGACTAACGGGATCGGGTGGTCAGGCTCGCTGACAAGGCGTCACCGGCATGTCACCATATCCCAACTGCATAGAATGAGATGATGCTCATGTCAGTCATTGCATTGTCTGGTCCAGACTCGATTATTTACAGACCACCGTCATATAGCTGTATTATTGCTGAGTGCGGCGTTAAACAACAAAGAGTATACAGATTTGTTCCCAGCAAGATGATAACACTGATACGCAGTACATATATTTAGAGGATATAATATGACTTCAGAAAAATGTTCTTAATGAAGAGTCGATTAAATGAGACAAACTCTTCGACTTTGTTGATCTTTTTTTCTCCATTTATTGACGATATCCCTTACGTGAGAGCAACCGCAGGCCCCGGGGCACGTCCGCCGCACGGTCCTTTCAACAACATGCAGTCATCAGCCCCTTTAACAAAGAAACAATACATCTATATTACAGTGTCCAGTGGCAGCACAGCGTCATGGCAAGGCTGGCAGATACCACACATGTCCAGTGCGCATACTGAATGAATACCGTTTTGTAGTGTAAGGAAACACAGGTACGGTAATTAACAAAATGTCAACAGGATTAAACAAACAGAATTTAGAATGAGTGAGTGAGTTGGGTTTAACGCCGCTTTTAACAGTATTCCAGTTATATCACGGCGTGTTAGCTTAATGTAGGAGGGAAGCCCGAAGTGATGCAGGTCTCAGACGTTTACCACTTCGGTGAAACCCACAAGCACGGGTATGGTGCTGACAAACCTAGAAACACAATTAGGGCGAACCAGGATTCGAGCCTACAATCATAGGTTTCTGGCGTGCCCAAGGGACGCAACTCTCCAACGACTGGATATGAGACTACTCCTGTATATTGAGAAATAATACTTTGCATGGCGTAAGTAATATATGCATATACCATTCAACATTTGACAGGGATAATGAAACGACATAATTTTATTAAACTACAGACGATATCTACTTATGTCAATTTTTAACGTCAAATAAAGAAGGAAATGTGACAAACCCATGACGATATATGCATATACCACTCAACATTTGAACGAGATAATCAACAACATGATTTTATTAAACTATAGACGATATCTACTTATGTCATTTTTTTACGTCAAATAAAGAAGGAATGTGACAAACCCATGACGATATATAATATTGTTCATATGACATCGTCTCCAAGCAGTCCGTTACATTCAGTTCCCACTTGAATCGACAAGTCTGGTAGGCCTATAGTCTGTCTTACAGTCCCTGATACAAATATATCCAATACAGCCCATGCGAGTCTATAATGTTTAGCAAGTCTAGATTACTGAAGTATCTGGGCTCCCTTTTATTATATTTTTATTAAGATAATTTAACAACTTTTTTTCTGTAAGATATGTTCATTTCAGAGACTAAATTATTCTGGAGTGTTCGGGCATTGAGGAAGTACCTTTACACTAGGGCTGGGACGGGTAACTCGGGGACTCGGGTCGGGTTGGTCCTGAGTAGGACCCGGGTACCCACAGGACTACCCGGACCCGTGGTTAGCCACGTATTATATTGTTTAATGACAAAAACTCACTATAGCTCAGTGGTTACACTACAAGTCGCTAATGTTCGCATTTCTTTCTGACGATGCACACATTCCTCTGTTCCTTGTATATGTTTGAGTAAAGATAAAGCTTCAGTCAACTTCAGTGAAAGCATGATCTGATTGTTTGATACATGTATCTAAATAGTTTTAGCCAGGGCTGCGGTAAAACAATTACCAATCAGACATTTTGTTCCTAACTCTTGAAACCTGCAGTGGGTACCCGGGTAGGGTCGGGTACCCGGGTAGCAAATTTGGACTCGTGCCAGCCCTACTATCCACGTGTGTAACTCACCCGCCTTGTTGATGCCCAGCATAGAGCCTCTCTGCGGGGGACTTATCATACATATGTGGGCAGTTGCCACCGCCACACAGACGAACAGATACAACACACACTTCGTCATGCCGGGACAGTGTAGGTAGAGAGGTGTACAAGCAGGTGACAAGACAGCCTTTATAGCGAGCGGTGTAACACGACTCGCCGTCACATGGCTCGGCTTTGTTTGTAAACCAAAACTGCCACCTTGTGGTCAAGAGCAGATAACTCGTATCACAACTTTATAGGCTAAGCTCACCTGGCTTACATCAATCAGGTCAGTCATATGATGCATAATGCTAATCCGAGTGGGCTAAATGTAGTTCAGGTCCAACAAGCTCACGTTCGGCCAAATTCGGAAAATAAACTATATGCCTCTAAATATTTCACTCTAAAAACGTGTGTGTTTAAACACAGAAATAAACACTGAAGCTGCAACACTTTATAGTGAGTGAGTGAGTATGGTTTTACGCCGCTTTCAGCAATATTCCAGCAATATGACGGCGGGGGACACCAGAAATAGGCTTCACACATTGTACCCATGGCGGGAATCGAACCCGGGTCTTCTGCGTGACGAGCGAACGCTTTAACCACTAGGCTACCCAACCGCCCCCAACACTTTATAGACACGTCCACGTGTATGTTTATAAACATACGTGTTTATGTAGATACGGGGCCGCTTAAAATTAAATGCACATTAAGACGTTTATAAATAACCACAAAAACATGTTTATACCCTTGCAACACTATATAGACACTTGTACATGTTCGATCCCTGACCGCGTCATACCAAAAGACGTTAAAAGATGGTACTTGTTGTTACCCTGTCAGGCGGTTTTAGGGGCTAAAACAAGGACTGGTCGGCTCGGAGTCAGTATACTGTGTCTTAGTGGTGTATTTATGTTAAACTGTGTCTGAGTGGGGTATTCATGTTAAACTGCGGCATGGCATCTCAGTAGGCTAGCACTAAAAATCGGCATCAGTCCGGACTAGTACAAGCAGCCACACACACACATACACGCGCATGCACGTCGCTATATAAGTGCAATAATCGCGACGTTAAACCCCATTTCACCTCACCTCACCTTGTACATGTTTATGTAAGAATACATGTTCAATGATAAACACTAATGACTGAGTCAGTAAGACTAGGGTGAGTCCAGGGTGAGACCGTTTTGTTCCTTTAGGTCCACTGTAGGCGTCTCCCACCACAAACTGCTGCGCATGCGTATATATGTCTGGGTAGCTCTGATCAAATACTGCCGCATCCAAGATAGATGCAGCTTGGCAAGCTATCTTCGTCCTGTCGCCCACAATGAAGGCTGTCGTGAAACTTTTGTCGTCCTTATTGACGACTATGATGAGGCGTGGCGAGGTGAATTCCTTGGATTTAAAAAATGCTTCTTTGACAGAAGCCACACCATCCACCTGAAAGTTAAACATTAAATATAAAAGGCAGAGTTTTGATAAAATTGTAAACACGCCTGCATTTAAAAAAGAAATGATATCTTCAAATAAGGATGCAAGTCAGTTGGTCATTTTCATATAGCATAATGTAAAATAATTAGACTGTTAGGGGTCACAGGATACTTAAACCACAGGTGGAAAAAATCCTTATGACCCCAGATCACGTTATTATTCAGCATACTGTTTGAGGGATTGAGAGACGAACCTTATGGACACTAATGATTGACTTGGTCTTCTTAGATCGTCCTTTTCCAACTGCCACAGACTTTTCCATGCCCACCAGTAAGTCTATTTCTGGCTATAGGGATCGATGACATGTATCAACCGAGTCAGCAACCGACCTGACCTATTCTACCCCGGATCTTCACGGGCCGAAGTAAAGAAGGAGTGTTTAACTTCAAACCTCATACACCATTGATACCTTCCTGGTCCAAATATTAAGATCTGATCTGGAATATGACATATGTAGTGCACCTTAGGTCTGAACCTGGACTTAGGGTACTCTTGTTTGAACAGTGAATGGTGTTCAACGATAAGGATACGCGAATCTGCAACTGTTTTCAACCGTTATGACTAGCATAACAATTTGAAACAGCTTTAGAAGCAATTTCCAGTTTAGATCCGCTTGGGGAATCTTTGGTCGAGGATCTAGAGGCAAAATGCTAGAAAGGATCAACATGGCTGATGAAGTTTGTTTGATCATAAAATCTACAATGACGTGTTGTTTTTGGATTGGTTCAGTTTTGTTTATTTCCAGAAAACTGTATGGAAAAGATGCTAATTTGTTATTCAACCAATGTTAACTGAACCAATGCTTTGTTTCCATGCAGTAATGGAGGAAAAGGGCCATCTCATATGGTACAACCCCTTCATGTAACACATGCATTGGATCATGTACGATATAACGAATAATGTCACAATGCGCCAAACCGCATAAAGGGCTCTTAAAATTGATACCCCAAATTTTACTCCAGTACTGGCGAGTACCTTTCGCTAGCGTTGCGTCAGAGTGAACGTTACATTTACGAAGATGATCGTCATGACTGCGCAAACGTAAATCTAAACTTTTAAATATTTTCTGCATGGCCCCTTGTGTGACAAAACATGTTCTGAAGGTTTTTAAGCGTAAGCAACGCCTTCCTTGAAGCCGCCCAGCCAGTTTGCACCAAGCGTATCAGCGGGTACCATTACAGTGCTCCTTCAATTGTACAATTCTGGCCCTGAATTTTCAGCTAAATGCCATCTGAAGCCAACCTGTTATCACAATCTAGAAAATCGCGTAGCAGTTTCGTGGTTTCACGCCGCTTTGCATGGATTGTTTTAGCTATGCCAACAAAATATATTGAAGTAAGTCTTGAACGATGTTCTGAAGGTATGTTACCAAGTGTGAAATAAAACATGGTAACTTTGTGTTTCTTGACATGAGTGCCAAGGGGATTTGCAATTTCTAAATCGTAAGAATTCAGAATGATTTGCAATGCTTCTTTGTTTCTGCAAAATATAGGATGGTTTCTCTAATGGCTACCATCGCAGATATCCCTCATAACTGTAGCATGTGAAACATGACTAGTTTTAAGGAAATGGCGAACTCGTGAAATCTGCAAAAGGCGTTCTATTGATTTGAGGAAAGGTATTATGACACCAAAATCCTAAATTTCTTTGACACACCCTCTTTTGTTGACTAATCGTTTCCCTAAATGAACTGTTTCGGGCGTTACTAACTCACATTTACGTTTGTAAAATACATATCTTTTGTGTTCAGTGTTCAGGTTGTGTAGTGAGGGAGATATCTCAATTGTGTCCAGCATTTCCTCAGGGTTTTGATTGTCAAGCAATTGCTTTGCTTGACGCTTGAAATCTTTGAGCTGCTGGTGCAGTATCAATTCCGTATTTGATACCACTTTATCGATTGCAGTTTGATTCTGTGTTTCGAGGGACAAGTATGATGCCATTACCATATCAGGGTCATATTCTTCATTTTTTATTTTCCGAATTGGATTCACTGACAAGGATGTTGTCATTTTGTACATTTATGAGTTCAATAGTATCATCTACACCTATATCATGCCTGTGCTTGCGACTGACATGCGACTTAAAACCAGACCAACTTCTAGTACTGAATCCGCAGCTGTCAAATTCACGTATGACTCGAAATCTCGGATCATTTCGGCGTAGGCGGACAGTATGGGTTGTGAACTTATGGAATGTGTTCGTTTGAAATGAACACATGTTGCATGACATATGAACTCCTTCCATGATTAGAGACAGGGCCAACCACATGTAAACAGACAGAAGTATACTTGAGATATACATGTCTAAGTTTCATTCAATCCCATTCTTATATTGAACTTAGTGGATGTGCCCGTAGTGAAATAGTGGAAATGCTGATCAAAGAATATTTTAAGTTGAATGGCCTACGCTGTTACATGATTTATATCTAGTCTGCAGTATCCCAGTAAGTGATATAAAAGCCAGTTAAACGCACATGTTGAATAATAACCATTGGTATCTTTACATAGCGAATGTCACGCCATGGTATCATGATTTGTCTTTAAAATTAAGAATATATGCAACAACAATCTAGGTCGGCCTATATAACGATCTAGGTTCAAACAAGACTTGCGTAAACTCTGATATTGTATTTTCCACGAGTTAATACAATGAAATTTCACTTCAGTTTTGCAAAACCACTTACGCAAATTTGAGTAATCTTGTGCAGAACACTTAGTAAAAAATGGCGACAACCACTCAGTATAATTACGTCATCTAGTGACGTCATATATTTTACAAATACTGCTGACAGTATATAAACACTAGTGTTAAAGGGCAAGTCCACACGAAAATAAACCTATTTTTCTTGTACTTTTTCATCATGAAAAGTATTTACTTAGTCGTTTCAGAGGCAAAACAATAAAAATATCAAAAGTATCTAATTTATTTTATTCATTAAATCGGTTCATATTTTTCACATTTACCGAGAGTTCTATTTCCATAATAAACACACCATGGCTTATGCCCCTTGCGATATGACGTCATTGGGGCCAATTGAAAAAGGAATAACATCATAAGACTTTATAAGACCAATTTCACGTGGTGTAGGTACATGTGTGTTATTCTAGCTTCTCAGATGCGCAACCTTTTGTTCTGTTCGGTGCCGTGCTGTTCAAAATACAACGCTGAGCACAATTACTCTAAAATTATTTCGTTTTCCAAAATCGCGACTGAGAAGATAACAATGAATTGATAACGAGCTGTAAGATTCGCTGTGATGGTTGGAAGGGCCGTTGTCTGAATTGTGCTTATTCGTTCATTTGTGTTGCGCATATTGATTCTTGCTGAGTTGCTGTCGTGTTCCGTGTGAGTTTATACCTGCTGGTTTTAAAACTGATCGGAAGCGGATGGTGTACGATCCATAATTGGCAAGCAGATTTGAATATGTGTGTTTGGCCCCAGATGTAGAGGATTCTCAACTATGTATGCAATATCATAACATTTAGCCTTTTATAGAATCAAATGCGAACAAGGTATGCATCAATTGACAGCCTCTTAAATACTTACAGCCACATATGTGATAAGATACTTTCAAATATAGAGAGTTATCTATCTTTATCCAAACGTATTTGAAATCATTGATAGCTAGATTCATATGCAGTAATTTTGGGCTTACACATAGCCTGTAAGACTTAGATTTACGCATACCATATCTGACGAGAATTTTGAAGCAAAAAATAATGTT